CCCAGGTGAGATGCTCCAAGTTGAGGTTGAGTCGGCCAATCTTCTGGAGCAAGGTCACAATGAGGAACTGGGGCTCCTCTGGACACACCAACCATCACATTTCTCTCAGACTGGGATGGAGGTAAAAGTCATCATTTTACTTTAATACAATAGAACTACCTCTCTGTTACATCTAGTTACAAATCCAAATAAATAAATAGTGTGTAACATTTCAGTAACAGTATGTTGTCATACACTATTCATTTGGATTCGTGTAAGCTTTACACAAGGGGATAAGAAACAACATTTATTTGGATTTGGTATTATTACCTTGTGTGCATAAAAAATATATTTTCAAAAATAATTAATCACAATTCTCCGCAATATAAATTTCTTTAATTATTTATTCAAAGTATGCAAGTGTTTTTTTTTAAAGTTGAATAAAATTGATAAGGCACAATTTGGATTATAGATTATAAACACAAGGTAATAAGACCAAATCCAAATAAATAAATAGTGTGTGACGTTTCGTTAACAGCGTTGTTACCATCTTCAGACGCTGTTACCGAAACGTCACACACTATTTATTTATTTGGATTTGGTCTTATTACCTTGTGTTTAAAGTTGAATAAATCAAAGCAAAACAGTTTGAGTCCAGTCACGAGAGCAAAGACCTTACAAAATGTATTTCAAATAAGGTTCAGATATATTTAAGACCAAGAGAGAGGAAACCCATCTAGAAGAGTAAAAAATTGAGGCAGACATTAAATAAATTATTTAAAGAAACACTTATTGCGGAGAACTGGGTCCGTTATTTTTTTTTTTTTAAGGGAAATAATGAGGTTACCAGAAATTCACATTGAATAGATCCATTTGTAGATTTGATACCATTGGCATAAAGATACTATAATTTCAATCAGGCAAAGTCAGACTTTCACCAAAGAGTGCCTGGATCATGGTGCAATGATCAATGAAAGCTACACCCTACACCCCATTTTATGAGAACAGCTCACTCAAGTAGCATGGACTAATGGAATTTATGTGATATTTTCTCACAAGAAAAAAGGCACATAATTTCAATCATCAATCCTACAAATTGGGACATTGATAAGGCACAATTTGGATTATATAAGATTATAAACACACAAGGTAAATAAGACCAAATCCAAATAAATAAATAGTGTGTTACCATTCTTCAGACAATTCATTCAGCACTTTTGTCTGAAGATGGTAACAACGCTGTTAACAAAACATCACACACTTATTTGGATGTGGTCTTATTACCTATTGTTTTTTTTTTTTTTTGCTTATCCCTAGTACACGTGGTACAGGCCATGATAATCATGGTGGGTAGTTAGCGACTGCTTTTTACTGTAAGCGCACCACATGTCTACACATGGGAAAGCAGTTCGACTTTGCACTTACAAATGTGCCAGAGCCCCGTTTGGTTACTTGCACTCGCTGGTGGGGTTGGACTTTTGCAAGAATCGGGGGGGGCCATTGGAGAATTTTTTTTTTTTTTTAACAGAAAAAAGTGTCCAATGCGGGGATCGAACCCGGGTCGTAGTGGTCGTAAACCAAACGGTTTAACCAGCCTTCCACCGACCCCCCTATTGTTTAAATTGGGAGATTAAAAAGTAAGTATACCTTCAATAGGGCAGAGGGTCTGTTTGGGTTCAAACTGGTAGTCAACTCCTCTGGTACATTTATCTCCTGAGACCTTGCGGTACCTAGAGACAGAGGTACCAGACATAGTGTCGGGTAAATAAGGGCCGAGGACTTACCCCTGGGTGAGATTGTAGGACTTTCCGGGGGCACAGTAGGGAGGGATGGACAGGTTCATTCCCTCCTCCCGGACACAGTGATTGGTGCTGTTCTCCCGGAAGCCAAAATCACTGAAACAAGAGGGGGAAGTGGAAAAGACAAATTGGAAATATTGGCTTCTTTAAATTGAACACAAATTTCTGAAAATAGCGGAAATATGACAGAAAAAAAGTCTTTAAAGTAAACATGTTGAAAAATTAAAAAAAAAAAAGAAAAGAAAATCCACAAATTGGATGAATTCCTCTCAGGAGCAAGGAAGGAACAAAGAAAGCCCTCCTCTGGTTCTAACTCTGAAGGAACTCACCATTCATAGTCATCCCGAGTGCAGGGACACTGGATAATGGAAGTGGGGCGTTCGTAGTCCTGGCCATTGTAGCAGGGCACGTTATACAGCCGTCGCTCAAACACCTCCTTCTGTCCCAGAAGACAGTGGAAATTGGGGCCAAGTGGCATCCATTGCTTGTAGTCACTGGGAGTGCAGACTGTCTCTATAAACCACCACCATTCCACAGGTGTCGATCCCATCTCTTACCAAGGGTAGCATAATCCCCTTACTATAACTACATTATTGGTAGAGTACATTGTGTTCCAATATGAATAAATAGTACCAGAGTGTACTGGGATCAGGAGGGTAATTTAAGAAAAAGGCATCTCCTGGTCGTGAAACTAAAAGTTGATGATATCTTGCGCCATCTGTCAAAATGAATATCAACTAATCGGTGATTTTTAAATTATTCCAGAACTGTCCAAATACCCATTCTTGGATTAATCAAGAGAAGCTAACCACGTACATATTTTGGCCTGTTGGTCCTCATCAGCATGGTGCAAGCTGTAACTCAATGAGCAAAAAAAAACTGTTCATTCAGGCATCCTGAAAAATCAGGAAAGGGGTATTTAAGACCAGACAGGCGTAAGAAAGCCAAATAATGTGAATACATTTGATAAGGCACAATTTGGATTATAGATTATAAACACAAGGTAATAAGACCAAATCCAAACAAATAAATAGTGTGTGACGTTTCGGTAACAGCGTTGTTACCATCTTCAGACAAAAGTACTGAATGAGAGAATTTAAAAGCATGCTGTGGTAAAATTCTCTCATTCAGTACTTTTGTCTGAAGATGGTAACAACGCTGTTACCGGAACGTCACACACTATTTATTTGTTTGGATTTGGTCTTATTACCTTGTGTTTATAATGTAAATAAATGATAATCAACAATTAGTTGATATTTATGCCAAGAGATGGCACAAGCCATCAGCAACTTTTAGCTGCATGATCAAGAGATGCCTGATCAATCATGAAGAAGAAGAAGAGATGCCTTAATGTATTCCATGCCTAAATAAATGACTAAACCTGGATTCTACTCTGGAGTTGGTGATCTCTCATCTGGGATTCCTACTTCAGTTGAAAGATTCCTCATGACTTGATCTGACATAACACAGTCTCTGATAAGAGGCCACCTCCAGCAGAGACTGGCTGTGGTGTTCTCTGAGAATGTCCTCTCAGATGGTTTTGATGATTAATCAACAGGGACACTTACTGAAGGCGGGACGAAGGTCAACCCGGATCCACACCCAGCGGTGCTGGCCAGGCACGGAGCCAAAGATGGTGAACACCGTGGTGCGCTCCCCTGGTTCTGTCATGAGGCCAAACACATGCACCTTGGAGCCATCTTGGAGGAATCTCAGGCGCTCCCAGCTCTCCCCCTCATTGGTGGAGTACCTGCACAGCAGAGGTCAGCTGATTGGTACCGACACATCACTTCTTTACATTGTGTTCCTCCCACAATCTTCTTTCACTCTTTATGTAATCTACACAGTGCCGTGCAATGGTATTGAATCCTTATCCTATTGCTTTAATAAAAGAGAATATTTTTTACAAAAAATACACTCATGGACAAAACCTAAGGTAGTGTTAAGTATTTGATGTTGCCGATTGTCTATTTTTTTTAAGGAGACAGAGACAATTTTGTTCACACTTAGTTATCCCTTGTGTATTCAATAAAGATCACTGTTTATCAAATATCTTTCAGAGTTATTGTGTGTCAGAATCTCAATATAAATTTTGTCCACGGGTGTAAATATATTTTAACTGCACTAATATAAGAGGGGAAGAAAGTGTTTTGCTCAAAAGCAGTTGCAAAGTGTTCAGGCTCTGCCCACTTTGCCAAAGGTTTCAGTTGTTTCACCAGTGGCCTTTGGGTCAAACTCAACCAAACCACTGCAAGCAACAAGACTCAACGGAATGCTTTGAAAAGAATTGGGAACACTACAGTAGAGTCAGTCTCTTGTAGAGCCATGACAGAGCTTAAGCCTAAAAAGATGGCTAAGCTCGGTCTCTTCATGAAAGTGGTCTCTCAATGAGAGAGTCTCTTTCAGTTGAAAGAATCCTCACATGATTTGACCTGACACTGGCATCGGCGATGTAGTACTCCTGTACCAAAACAACCAATATATATCCCCCTCTCTCTTTATTGAAGGGCTAAGAGAAATTGGAAAGCAAAATCCTGAAATATTTAATAAAGAACCTTCAAATGTAATGGCTTGACACAATTCTCAACTAATTAAACCCAACACCAGGAGAAAAAACCTGGTTTATCCAAATTTTAAGGCTATAGACTCTGTTGGAAGAGTCTCCAGTATGAGTTTCTTCAGTCCAATATCCTTTCTCCCAAAGGTTCTAAAGTAGGTGACCACATCACACTTACAGCAGGGTATCTGTAGCAGCCCCAGGGGTATAGTACTGGATGGCCACCATGATACCCCCATAGTCCCCCATGGTGTACAGGTAGTTGGACTGGAGGACCTAGACACACGGACTTCCATTGAAAGGGAGGAACAATATATACTCCTACAAATAAACATGGGTAAGTTTACAAAAAACCTTGGGAACATGTTCATGCTAAAAAATGTTAATGTGCCCTTCAGAGAGAGAGGTATCCTCTTACTAGAGAGCAACTAATTAAGAAAAAAAAAGGTTTTTAGTACACGTGGTACAGGCCATGATAATCATGGTGGGTAGTTAGCGACTGCTTTTACTGTAAGCGCACCACATGTCTACACATGTGAAAAGCAGTTCAACTTTGCACTTACAAATGCCAGAGCCCCGTTTGGTTACTTGCACTCGCTGGTGGGGTTGGACTTTTGCAAGAATCGGGGGCCATTGGAGCATTTTTTTTTCTAAACAGAAAAAAGTGTCCAATGCGGGAATCGAACCCGGGTCCTAGTGGTCGAAAACCAAACGGTTTAACCAGCCTTCCAAAAAAAAGGTAATTGGAGAAAGTTGTCGTCTAGAGCAGGGATGTCCTCTCATGGGTTCTACTGCAATTACTTTTAAATGTAAAGACCCAAATAGCAATAATAACAAATTAGGGAAGTATGGTTCAGTTTAAGTAACATTCCAATCAGTCAAGAGAGAGCACATTAGTCTGAAGTTGTTGGCAATGCCGTCAACAAAACTTTGCATAAAGGAGCCTCAAAACAAAGAGAAAGGATAAAGAGAAAAATATATTTAATCTAGAGATGATATAAGAGAGGAACAATCTAGAATCTAAATACAAGTTCAAAATTAATCATTTAGAGATTGCGTTTCAAACAATTTATAGGGTAAATTTAAAAAAGAAAGCATAATAAGATGCTGCAACTCTTTTTAATTGCATCATCTAATGTATTTATGTAATTTGTCAAAATATACAATCCTGTGATAATGAATTTTATAGGTGAGATTGTATACCAGAGGGAGAGACTGAGAACTCCCCCCAATACAAAATATTATTTGAGAAAAAAAAAAAAAAAAAAACTCACCTCATGCCAATTGAGACCAGCATCGGAGGAGAGATAGACATTGGGATTTCCCTTGATGAACTTGCCCATGATCCCTGCAGCCAGCCCCACCAGGTGAGTTAAATAAATGGAGAGTACCTCAGGGAAATCAACTGACCTGAGGCAATGATGATCCCCACTGCTGACTTCTTGGAGAAGATAGGGGAGGAGCGGAGCCAAGGGAACAGCTGGGTGAACTTCTGGGTGATGTGGAGAGAGCAGTTGGAGCTCTGAGCACCAATATGCCACATTGTAAACCTGGGACTGTACAGTGGAACACAGTGATCCAACACGTGGTATTCATCATTCCCAAGTTTAACAGTACGGTGTAGTAGGCAGCATTACCTTGGTGCAGTTGAGGGGCTCTCCATTCATGTCCACAGTGGGGGGAGTCAGGGGCTGCCACAGGGCCCCCTTGTCGAAGGTGACCAGTGAGGTGAGGAAGGGGGCCTGGGAACTGGTGCCCTGGCCTGGGAACCGAGCCTGGTTGGCCAGGTATATACCGCGCAGGCCGGCCACCTTGTACAGGTCTACCACAGGACCACCATTCGGAGCCCACCAAGTGGCATTGGGGCTCAGGTAGAGGATCCGTTCCAGGGAGAGTGAGAACTTCAGCCCTTGCACCTCCGAGATGTACAGGTTGGTCTGGTCATTGTGCATCACGCAGACAAACACTTGGTCCTCACTGGCATCGGCGATGTAGTACTCCTGTACCAAAACAACCAATATATATCCCTCTCTCTTTATTGAAGGGCTAAGAGAAATTGGAAAGCAAAATCCTGAAATATTTAATAAAGAACCTTCAAATGTAATGGCTTGACACAATTCTCAACTAATTAAACCTTGGACTCATTTTTCTTTTCCAAGAAGAATAACTTTCTCAGGTCTCTCTCCAATGAATAAATAAGACATTAGAAAATCAGGGCAAAACAAAAGAACCTTGTGGGGTAGGTTCTGCAGGGGGAACTGTGCGGTGAAGAACTCCCCGCGGTTGTAGGACACCCAGAGCTGGAGCACGGGCTCACGGCTCCCCAGCAGCCTCTGCCAGCGGGTGGCAAAGAAGTACTTGTCATGGACCTCAAAGTCCACCACATCCGAGATGAGCACCGTGGCCTTGGACAGCTGGGAGAGTCGGAGGATGGTGGAGTGGCCGCCGGACTCCTGCCGCTGGACATAGAGGGTGTTGGGACTGTCCAGCCCTGGCACTCCCCTGGAACACACAAGGACTCTGAGACTCCCTCTAAAGACATGTGTTAGAGGACACTTCTCTATAAAGGACACTTTGAAACTAGCTGCTGTTCTTTAGAGAGAGTGGTAGATCTACTCTTTTTTTTTTTTAACATTGTAATAACTTTTTCTAGCTCAAACATATACACAATGGTGTTTCCTAGCTTAATGATTACAATAATTATGCACAGAGTGGATTCTCTTTATAATAGCCTCTTTTGGAGAAGCAACTTGGTTAGAATTCTAACCTATAGTCTCGATTGTCTTAACCATGGTTATAACAATGATATTACATGGCTATAACAAAATCTTGGTCCTAAGTCTTCTTCTTCTTTCTTATCTCCACTCAATCATATTACGGTATCAAGCTTGTAAAGTTGACAAACATCATAATTGGGTGAAGTAGAATGCGTCTGCCTTTGTCATTAAGACTGGGAGCACTACTCAGTGGCAGGCCGACTTAGCTCCGAATGAAATGGCCACCTCTGACATGAGGAACAGACGCCATGTGTAGCCGCTCCTAACATGGAGTACAAACGCTCTTCATTCATCCTGTATCCCTGGATTAGGAGCCCTTACAGGGTACTATCAGCCGGGCCAGCTGAACCCAGGTTTTTTAGTGAGCTTGTTACTGCTCCTCCTCCTCCTTTTTCATCCGGGCTTGGGACCGGCAAAGGCAGAATTAAGTGATCCTAATCCTAAGTGATGTTGTTAAAGCAAGGTTCAACTGTCTCAAGTAATGTTTTTATAGCGAGGTTTGACTATATATTTTTGGATCTGGTCTTGTTATATCCCCTTGATATTTTATCTATAATCCAAATTTATTGTTCTGCTTAAGGTAACAAGATAAAATTATTAAATTAAATGTGACCTTCAAGGAACAGCAGCTTTTATTAGGGAAATGTCACATACAATTTAAATAATTTGGATTTGGTATTATTACCTTACTATAACTGTTATTTATGTTGTTCTTGTGTCTATTTGATCACGCAGAATGCAACTGAACTAAGTATTTATTTATTAACATCTATTTATTATAACGTGGTTATATATCTAAGAGTGTTTACAAGTCGAGTCGGCAGTGTTGCCGGATCAATCATAACATGTTTCCTTTAAACAAAAATAAAAAAGGATTGCAGTTCTCCTAGTCTCTATAACGCAAAGGTTTTCTCACTGTTCTACCACTGCGGGTTCGCACACTAGGAGAAGTAGATGATTCTTCACCTTTCTTGGCAATGTCCTCCCTTGGATCATATGCTCTTCTGTTTTCGGAAGTGGGTCTTCCGTGATCTTGTATGTTGTCATCCATGGCTGTCCCTGCTTGAGATCCAGGAATGCTTGGACTTTGACTTGTTGGGGCAGAATCTTCTACACTGAACTTTCTCGGTCTAAGGTGAGACCTGTTCCTGCGGTATTCAGACCCACTTGGTGTTTTCACCATATATGAGCGTGGAGTTTCATGCTTTGCGGTCACTGTTGCCGGAACCCATTTTCTATGCCTTTCCTGCAACATGATGTTGTCTCCTACTTCCAAAGGTCTCAAAATTCTCTTTGGACTTCCTGCATACTTTTGTTGATGGTCTCTCAATTTTTGATAATTCTTTGTTGTGTCAAACAGTGGTTTCAACTGTTGTCGGGTGTATGTCGAAAGAGTTCTCACAGATCTTCCCATAAGCATTTGGGTCGGAGATGGCAAGTCATACTTAGGTGTGTTGTTGAACTCCATCAAAGCCAGATTGGGATCTCTTCCTGACTTCACAGCTTTAATTATCAGTCCTTTGATGGTTTGAATTGTCCTCTCAACTTGTCCATTAGATCTTGGATATTTGGGACTGGAGGTTTGGTGTTTGAATTCATATTTCTGAGCAAAATTTTTGAATCCAGTAGAGTTAAAAGGGGGTCCATTATCCGAAACTAGAGTTCTTGGAATTCCATGAGTCCTGAAAATGGTTTTCAACTGCATGATGGTTTCGGTTTCTCTTTTGGTTGATAATTTCCGGATTTCAACAAACTTTGAGTGGTAATCGACAACCAAGATGGAACTGGTTCCACTCACCTCCATGAAATCTACAGCAATTTTTTCCCATGGAAATTCAGGGATTTCATGAGCTATTCTTGACTCCTCAGGATTCTTTCTTGAATATTCCTGACATGTTCTGCACTTTTCCACTTCATTTTCTACTTGTGTTATCATGCCTGGCCAGTAAAATGCTGATCTTGCTTTTTCTTTGGAAGCTGCTATGCCCTGGTGTGATGAATGAACAACCTGCAGGATTTCTTTTCGAAGAGTCGATGGCACCATGATGCAATTTCCTTTGTAAACAATTCCGTCACTCACATGAATTTCATCTTGAAATTGCCAGTAGGGTTTTGCTTCATCACAGACCTTAGTTTTATATTTCGGCCATCCATTCTTCGCATACTCTATTAGTTGTATCAAGGTGTGGTCCTCATGAGTTTCTTTTTGTAGTCTCTTTATTTTTTCATCTGTGGTAACCAACAACATGTGCACTGATTCAGTTTGGCCTTCTAAATAGCTTGTGTCCACCTCATCTTTTAATGGATCTCTAGACAGATGGTCAGCTACAAACATGTTTTTCCCTGGTGTAAACTTCAAAGATATTTGAAATCTCATGAGACGTAAGACCATTCTTTGCAGTCTTGGGGAAAGCTTTTCTAAAGGTTTCTTAACAATACTCAGGAGAGGTTTGTGGTCAGTTTCCACAATGACATCATTTCCCCAAATATAATACTGGAAGCGTTCACATCCAAAGACTATAGCCAAAAGTTCTTTCTCTATCTGTGCGTATTTTCTTTGAGTTGCATTCAGGCTGAAGGACGCATACTCAATTGCATGTCCCCCTTGCATGAGCACTGTACCAATACCATATTGGCTTGCATCAGATGAAATGGTGATTGGCTTGGTTGGGTCAAAAAATGTCAATATTGGAGCATTCGAGACCATATTCTTGAGTTTTTTAAAACAATCAATTTCTTCGCCTCCAAATTTCCATTCACTCTTGTTGCTTATCAATTTCCTTAGAGGTGCAGTCTTGTCAGAAAGATTAGGAATGAATTTGCCAAGGTACGTTACCATACCTAAGAATCTTTGGACTTCAGTCTTGTTCTCAGGTCTTTTCAACTTTTGTATTGCCTCTGCTCTTGAAGCTTGAATGGCTATTCCATCTCGACTGATTATATGGCCTAAGAAATTTACTTTGTCGACAGCT